TATAGACCATCTCAGCATGAAGAAGATTCTACTTCCTCATATTACCTGGATATACCTATATTTAAATTTTGTAATTTTTTCGTTTATACTACAAGTTTTGTTTCTTGCAATTTACCTGGTTTTTTTTTCGTTCTTGTGATTTAAGGTGTTCTATATATATTAGATCTTCGATTTCTCTGTATATACTAGCGCCTTCATTATTTATCTTAAATTTTTTTTTAATAGTTCCACGCATTAGCTAAGCGCAATCCTATTAATAAATTTCAACTTCCTAATATCACCTAGAAATGTTATGGAATTTAATTATTTATTTGATTAAATCATCTGTTTTAGTTCTTATAATTCATGTAGATCTGTTCTTGTACTAGATCAATAGCATCTTTCATTCTTTTTTTCAATAATTTCTTCTAATTATTCCACGCATTGACTAAGTGCAATCTTACAATAGGTTTTTACTTCTTTATATTACTTTGAAATGTAATAGAATCTAATTATTTATTCGGTCAGAAAATAAGTATGGATTTTATAATTAACATAAGTAGATCTGGTCATAGGTCATTCTTTTCAAGCGGGAGGGACTTTAAACTTATCACTTCCGATATGGATTAAATATGAAAGAACAAATTTTTTTAAAGTAAAATTATCCGTATCTTGGGAAAAGTATTTTTTTTTTCCGAAAAGATTCGACCGCATGCGATTTTAAAAATTTGCAATTCAAATCAATTTTTAAATAAACATACTTCTTCTGATTGTCTTTTACGGTATAGCAAATAAATTTTTTGCTTTATATGAACTAAAATAATGACAACAGTTTTTGAATTATAAAATCACAGTTTTATACAATGTATTTCTTGAGTCTTTACCATTTTTTAAAGTGTATTCGCACTAAGGAAGGAACTGTAATGAAAGCTTAATCTATCTGCAAGTGTCATGCGCATAAATTAAATTAAAAAATTTGAGAAGTGAATAAAGATAAAAGAAAATTTTACACTCCACTTGAAAACATAACAAAAAACGTGCTTTATATACACTCAAAAAGGTTTAACTCAAAGAATAACTACTCAAATTTTGAGTGACCCAATGTTAACATATAAAAAAAAGAAACAATTTTTAATAAATTATATAAAAATACTTATAAATGATATAGATATATGATTAATTATTTAATTATTTTAGTAATTTTATTTAAATATTGATTTATTAAATTTTTAATTATAAATACTGCAGTACTATCTTGGCTAAATTATGGAAATATGAGACATTGACTCATTTCCAATAAATTAATTTTTATGAATGAACATTATTTTATCTTCCATTGATTAAAACTTTTTAACTATAAGTATCAAAAAAATATAAAATATCCAGACATGTCTGAAGTGTTCTATTAACAAGTTAACACTCAATTGGCTCTTTAGTTACAAAAAAATAGTAAAGGAAAAATTGAGTTAAAAATTATTTTCAGTACACTGCATAATGTTTGCAGTAGTTTAAGTGGAAAGCCATTTTCAGAAGGCCAAAATGCAACAAGTGGAGTATGGATAATAAATGCCATATGGTCTGGAACATAAAATAAACATTAATTTTAATCAAAAAAAATAGTTCCTTTGAAATAGGGTTGGCAAGTTGTTTGTGGGAGCAATATTTAAATAAGGAAATATTAAATTGCGATGACTAAAATATTATGAAATATAAGACAAAATGTTACAAATTCCAATTTTAAATATTATGTTTTTCGATAAACTCCCATTAAAACTCTGTTAAACAGTCGAGTTAATGATAAATTCGCATTAGCTTTATATTAGGCATCTTTTTTGTCTTCTTTTGTATTATTTTTTAATCACAAATTCACTTTTACCGTTCATGAAAAAAATATTAAATTGAATTAAAAAAAAATTAAATTCAACCAACGACTAACTATAAGTCTAAAATAGCCTTCAGAAGCAATCCAAATGATTTTTTTCTCACATACCTCCTTCAACAGAATTAAAGAAATATATCGTAAAAGTAGAATTATTATTATAATCATTGATTTGTGGCATATACCATATAACTATAAGCAGTGAGCAACTAAGTAAACATAATTTCAATTATTTAAGTATTCTTTTTCTTATCTGAAGTGCTTTAACCTTTTCTTAAAACTGACACTAAAAAGAATTCCCCTATTAGTGCGTTTCATAACACTAATGGGGATTCACAAATTCGTAACAAAACACCACAAACAAAGAAGAAAGAAAGACAACAATATTAAAAATCATGAATGATTAACCGTATTGTTCCTCTTTAAGTGAAACCCCGTCTGCCAAGCTTAATTAACAGTCGCGACCAAACACAAACATCAACTGATAAGATGCTATAAAAGACCTGAGCGAAGTCAAATCTACATCAAACGAACTGCAACCGGCAAGAAAACAAATTCAAAAGTGTACTTAATTTAAATAACAAAATATATATAAAAATTACTTTAAAATATATTTTAAATCATATATTAACAAATAAAATATATACAAAATGAAATACTTTATCTATATTGCTGTTACAATCGCTACCTTATGTGTTATAACCGAAGCAACACCACAACGTTTTCAAAAGTTACCTTACTATCCACCACCAACTAGACCACCACGTCCAATACGTGTACGACGAGATGCACTCAGTGGTTCATTGGCCAGTAATCCAAATGGTGGTGCTGATGCAAGACTTGAATTGGGACATGCTATAGGTGATCCAAATCACAATCTAATTGGTAGTGTGTTTGCTGCTGGGAATACGGTGAAAGGACCCGTGGCAACTGGTGGTACCTTGGCTTATAATAAGTAAGTTCCTATTTTCATATTTCCATAATATTTTATAAAGTTATTAACTCCAATTAATTTCAATCTAGTAATGGTCTTGGTGCTTCATTGACTAAGGAACACATTCCTGGTGTACGTGATTCATTCACTCAAAGCGTCAATGCTAACCTCTTCAAGAGTGGACCACACAGCGTTGACGCTAATGCATTCAAATCTCAAAATACCCTCGCCAATGGATTTAAATTCGAACGCAATGGTGGAGGTTTGTCTTATGGACATGCCAACGGTCATGGTGCCAGTCTTACACAAAGTAGTATTCCCAATTTTGGTAAACAATTAGAATTGGCTGGCAAGGCGAACTTATGGTCATCACAAGATCGTAACACCCGTTTAGATTTGGGTGGAAGTGCTTCCAAGTGGACAAGTGGACCATTCAGTAATCAAAAAACGAACTTTGGTGGCAATTTGGGCTTGACTCATTACTTTGGCTAAATTATTATTATATCGTATTTATATTTAAATTTAGTTTTATAATTATAGTTAAATTTATTTATTTTCAATAAAAAATTAATACTTAAACTAAATAAAATATATGAGTATTCAGTTTTAATTTTTCGCATTAAAGTCAATATTACTCAAGTTTCTAGAAACCACATTTTTCTTAAATAGACGGCATCAATATATATATTAGATCTTATTTGTAATTATAATTACAAGCAAAGAAGTATCACTTTATTGACTTTATTGAATATATTACTACCAAACTGCTTAAATTAATTATCAAACATCCCCTACTAAAGACAAATGCTTCATGCCTTAATCTTAAGATCCTTGAAGTTGGATTCATTATTCAGATACTAGTTAAAACTGTAATCATATTTTGTACTAAGATCTCTATAGTGCAAGAGGGACTTGATTTTCGATATTTTTAAATATGTAGAATAGTTATATGAATTTAATCAAATAACTTTATAATTAAAAATTATAAGAAATTAGTACACTCTATATATTGTTAAGGATGGGTTCGAGGAAAATTAACGAAACCACAAAAATTTCTTAAGTGTTAATATATTAAATGATGATAATACACATAACTAATTTGTTTCCATCCATGTCAAATTCGACAGCATATCAATATTAGACGGATTATTGACATATGAATATTTACAGATAATCCAGATAAAAAAAAAGATAATTCAAATTGTGTTTTCAACTACCAGTAGTTTTCACTAAGATAGCATAGTAATATTGACGAATATGATATTAGTTCAAACTAGATGTAATCTCAGCATTATTCAACGAAAAAAATGCAGGTAGGCGTTTATGTCACTAAAGCAGCTAATAGGTAAGCAAATCATTAGGGAAACTAAAACCAGATTGAGCCGCCTTTGCTTAAATATAAAACACTCAAGCCAATTAAACTCCATACAATTTTTTTTTCTTTTTCTCTTGCTGGTAAGAGTGATGAGGTTATACTCTCTAATGAAAACCCCGCCAGAACCTAAATGTAGAAAGTTAAGACTTTTGTCAAAGTGGTGTTGACGAGAAAAAAATAAGAAACATACAATAACTGCTATATCACTATCTTGCTTTTGTAACTTCAAGATTTTTAATCTAAAAATACTATTAACTAGAAATTCAACCTTTAGATTTTTGCCAGCATCCCAATTTTAATTGGGATGTCTTATAACACCCGTTCTATAAGAACGTTATAGAATCAATGAGTCCCTTTTAGCCTATTTTAACAACCATACCGACTTTTAATGGTCTAAAGAAACGGAAAGAAACGTTCTGTGAACCAGTGTTCACATATTAAGCCAGTATATGGACTAAATACATCGCCAAAAATTAGCCGTATATCTTAACATAACCATTGAATCAGACCAAACATGTATACTATATAAAATAGAAAATACACTAATCTTAAATTTAAAATTGACCGTATTTTAATTAATTGTAATATTTTAGAAACTCTAAATTTACAAATTATTAAAACGATTTTTTCTATTTCATGAATACATAAAATTTTGTCTACAACGAGAAAAATTAATTTAAAAAGTAACTCAAAAATTACATATTTTAAAAAATTATTTGTAAACAATCACTCTAATGGGAGTCCCACACTAATCAATTAACTGATAAGCACCATTCAAATTCATATAAATATTAGCAATCAGTACTAAATCAACATCAAACAGCTATTAGCTTCGAACCAGTCGAGAACAATCAAAAATCTCTATAAAATTAAAGCATACTACTAAAGCAAAAATACAATATGAAGGTACTCATCTGCTTAGCCGTTTCAATCGCAGTGTTCTGCGTCATCACTGAAGCCACACCACAACGTTTTCAACGATTGCCTTATTATCCACCACCTACGAGTGCAACACGTCTGATACGAGTGAGGCGTGATGCTTTAAGTGGTTCATTAGTAAGTAATCCAAATGGTGGAGCTGATGCACGACTTGAATTGGGGCATGCTATAGGTGATCCAAATCATAATCTAATTGGTAGTGTATTTGCTGCTGGCAACACAGAGAAGGGACCTGTTGCTTCCGGTGGTACCTTGGCTTATAACAAGTTCGTTTGTATAATTTATATATATTCACTTTTATAACTAAATTTCATATATTTCCTCTAGTAATGGTCTTGGTGCTTCACTGACAAAAGAACATATTCCCGGTGTACGTGATTCATTCACACAAAGTCTAAATGCCAACCTTTATAAAAATGGTCCTCATAGTGTAGATGCTAATGTATTTAAATCACAAAATACTCTTGCTAATGGATTTCAATTTGAACGCAATGGTGGTGGCCTTTCATATGCTCATGCTAATGGACATGGTGCCAGCTTGACACAGAGCAGTATTCCTAATTTTGGTAAACAATTGGAATTTGGTGGAAAGGCAAATTTATGGTCATCACAAGATCGTAATACTCGTTTGGATTTGAGTGGAACCGCATCAAAATGGATGAGTGGACCATTCAGTAATCAAAAGACTGACTTTGGTGGAAATTTGGGTCTAACACACTATTTCGGTTAAAATTAAATATTATTGTTATATACTAGTTATATACTAGAGTTGCTGTTCAAATTTAGTATACATATTAAAAATTTGTTAGTATTTTTTTTTCATTGCAATATTTGGTAAATATGATTAAGTTATTTTAAACAAAAAATAAATTATAGTAACAAATATTAAAACTTTATTTTACTCACTTATTTAGTTTTACTAATTAGATATATTAAAGACGATAACATACAAATCTTTACTAGATGCAACATACAGGGTTATAAAGAAAATTTCATCCGTACAAAGTATTTGATGCAATATATATAATCATATTTGCAGCCCAAAAAAATTTTTTACTTAAACTATGGGTACTTATATGGAAGTAATAATATATTAAGAAGATTGATTCAAGTGCAAGCTATATCTTAGAAAACAATCAACTGACCTAAAACCAAAAAGTAGACCCAATTAGATACTACAATAATAAGGTTAACCGATTGCTTTAGATAACGGTATCCCAATTTAGAAATCCATTTTGTACCATTTAAAAAACGAACGTTGTTTTTAATGCCTATACTGGTGATATTAGACCGGAGAAGGAATAGAGGAGGAATACAATAGAGTGGATATACACTTACTGACAAGTATCAATCAGTTACACCGTAGTTGAGTAACTTCCTACTTCATTATTTTCAGATAAATCGCTACAGCAGTAGCCACTGAATGAAACCCTTATTAGATGGACATTCCAACAGTTTTTATTAGATGAGACTAATTGAACTCATTAGATACTAATTAGTTCTCACCTCATTATAGCTGTATCGTGTCATTGCATGGATGTTCTTTGTGCCAAATTTAGTCGACCTTTTTATAGTTTTGTATACATATGGTCCGTTTAATTGAAACCATATGCAATGGTGTATTCAGAAAATTACGATTTAGATCACCCCCTTCTCCTTCTCTTTACAATTTAATCTAAAGATAATTCACTGCAAAAACACTTCCAAAAAAACATTTTTATATATTCACTTGTTGAAATATATAAATATATGTATATATATTCTTTCCTTACTAAGAAAACTATTTCCTTACTAAGGACATAGTATTATTAATATTACGTAATATTCACGTCATTATGTATCTTTAAGGAGTTTCACCTCGCATCAATGTTGACCTATCAAGTCTATATGTGATGTCAGCCAACCAGCTTTTTCGTACATACATATCTTTGAACTTTGACAACATATTTATGATAAATATATATTATTTACCATCATTATGTGAATTTAAGTGTCACACCTCGCATCAGTGTTGACCTATCAAGTCTATATGTGGTGTCAACCGACCACCTTTTCCTATTTACATATCTTTAAATTTTTACAACATATTTCTGATAAATATATATTACTTACCGTCATTAAGAGTCTTTAAGTAGTCTCATCATTATGGATCTATCAAGTCTATATGTGGTTTCAACCAACCTGCTTTTCCTACTAACATATCTTTAAATTTTTACAACATATTTATGATAAGTATATATAAAGAATATTCAAAAATATTCAGTAATACAACTGTAAATCCAAAATTTCTATAAGAAAATAAATATATTTTGTTTTCGAGTTAACAAGTTAACATTATGTATAATCAAATCATTTATTATTTTTTCTTATATATAATATTATTATAATATTATATATAATAATATTAATATATATATATATATTCATTTAATTTTTTAACTTATCTTTATTGTTAAATACTATGATGAAATACTATGGTGTCTCCTAAAAAGTAATTAAGAGAATTGTCACTTTTATCCAAGAAATGAACAAAATCATAGGGAAAGAATCATATGTTAAGAAAAGACTATATTATCTAAAACAAACACTTAATCCAAAAAACCTTCACTTCAAAAAAACAGTTCATTTAGTAATAAGAAACAATTTTTTTTTATTTTAGTCCATTAAGCATTTTTTAATAATTTTATTCAGATATTAGGATAATTTGGAAAATTTTTGTTCATTATTTTTCTTAAATTTTTAATAGTACAATATTACAAAGTTTTTAATGTTAATTAATACCTTAAATTCGTCTAAGCATATTATTAAAAAAACCGTTCTTTTATCATGTATGCAGGTGCCCAGCAGCGGCAAGACGTAGACTCGACTACCTTGGAAGCGGGATCTTAGTCCCGAGGATCTTAGTTAGATTTATAAATAATCTAGAATTGTCTTAGTTGGGCCTTAAGGCGTCGGAGTGCATTCATAGCCTATTATTTAGTAATAATAATGAAATCATGTACTTCAATATCAGGTGTTGAATGAGTAACCTGCTGCTTTATTTTTTTGATGCTTTCTTATTTAATATCAAAAGTTCTTTTTATTAGAAATTAATAAAGAAATTTAAAAGTTGTAAAACAATTTACTTAATAAAAATGACAAACTAACAATTTTAAAGTAATTAAGTATTTTCAAAAAATACCCTACTCTCAAACTTAATTTCTTAGAATAAATATATATAAAAAGTTTTGCAGAGCGACGTTTTTTCATAATTCCCCCTTAACACTTTTCGATATATATATATATATACAGAAATGTAGTTCATCATTTCATTCAGTAGTTTTGAATGAAAAGAAATTACAAATACTTTTTATTAAAAAACCTGTTTAATGTTGTCAATAGGTTAGACAAAGTCAATAAAATGTGATCTTTTACTGAACTCACAAACGATCGCGAAAAAAAAAGTCCGCTAAGAAACTGACCTATCCAAAAAGAGATGAGCAATTGGATTGCATGTAGCAGTTCGGATATAACGTCACGGATCTGCCGTTGAATTAATTATGTCAAAAAAAACAATGTACTTTTTCTATGACGGGGGATTTTTAAATATTAAACTACGAAACTTACGAACATAAATATTTAAAATAAATCAAAATGAAAATAAATAAACAAACATTAAATTTTATTAAAAAACAGATAAGAAAGATTCATTTACAATTTTCTTTTTGTTTTTACTTTTTTTTTGTGTTATTAATCGCACCAAAAAAAACACGAAAATTTACAGACGCGAGGGAATACCCCTCGCTTATTCAGGCAATTGATAAGAAATCACTAGTCTTTAGCTTGATATAAAAGCAACAGCGCTTGAAGATCTTCACATCAAACACTTGGCAGCTTTCAGTACAAAAGTATTACTTTTATTATTTATTAAATCATTTTTAATACAAAATAAATTAAAAATTAGCAACAAAATGAAATATTTCATCTATATTGCTGTTACAATCGCTACCTTATGTGTTATAACCGAAGCAACTCCACAACGTTTTCAAAAGTTACCTTACTATCCACCACCAACTAGACCACCACGTCCAATACGTGTACGACGTGATGCACTCAGTGGTTCATTGGCCAGTAATCCAAATGGTGGTGCTGATGCAAGACTTGATTTAGGACATGCTATAGGTGATCCAAATCACAATCTAATTGGTAGTGTGTTTGCTGCTGGGAATACGGTGAAAGGACCCGTGGCAACTGGTGGTACCTTGGCTTATAATAAGTAAGTTCCTATTTTCATATTTCCATAATGTTTTATAAAGTTATTAACTCCAATTAATTTCAATCTAGTAATGGTCTTGGTGCTTCATTGACTAAGGAACACATTCCTGGTGTACGTGATTCATTCACTCAAAGCGTCAATGCTAACCTCTTCAAGAGTGGACCACACAGTGTTGACGCTAATGCATTCAAATCTCAAAATACCCTCGCCAATGGATTTAAATTCGAACGCAATGGTGGAGGTTTGTCTTATGGACATGCCAACGGTCATGGTGCCAGTCTTACACAAAGTAGTATTCCCAATTTTGGTAAACAATTAGAATTGGCTGGCAAGGCGAACTTATGGTCATCACAAGATCGTAACACCCGTTTAGATTTGGGTGGAAGTGCTTCGAAGTGGACAAGTGGACCATTCAGTAATCAAAAAACGAACTTTGGTGGCAATTTGGGCTTGACTCATTACTTTGGCTAAATTATTATTATATTGTATTTATATTTAAATTTAATTTATGAGTATAGTTAAGTTTATTTATTTTCAATAAAAAATTATAATTAAAATTGAATAAAATATATAGTTAATATTCTTCCATAATTCAATAAAAATTTAGTATTGTAATTTTAGAAAGTATATTTTTCTTAAAAGATGAATATGTAAATACATATGAATTTAATTTATAAAACTATAATTATTGATGAAATAGTTTTTAGATCTTCTAACTTATATCAATCAATCTTAAGCAGATCATTAACAACATTGCCATAAAATAAATATTTCAGACTCTACAACTTTGCTACACTAAAAAAAATTATAAAAATTAGCAGCCTGGCTTGCAGTGCTAATAACTTAAAGATCATTTTAAAACGTGCACAATAATGAATATTTTAAAAAAATTACAGACTTATTACAGACAGGCGTCTTACTTGATTGTTTGACCATATAAATCAACCGCAACGTTTTCAACGACTGCATTATAATCCACCGCCCACGGTAGGCGAGAAGAACAGAAACCTGATCTACAGCCACATAATCATACCATCACTACTCTATGGGCGGGTAACTCTCTTCAGAGTGCCTTGGTACATCCGCACGAGTGACATGCTAAGAGGCTTTAGAATAAAACAGGCTGCCCTACTTAGCTTTATCTAATCTCACAATAATCTCTAACCGCATGGAGCGGTACGCAAATCTTAGATCAGTCATCGAATAATCACGAAGCTTTTTAATCACAAATAGATAAATTATTCAGTGAGAAACCCCCCAGCAGAGTAAAAGTGCCCAATTGCACTAACTCGGAAAAGACTCTGGTTTAATTGCACTAACTCTGGGCTCTGATTTAATTTTGTCCTTCATTTTGCTACACTGAAACAAAATAGTTACAAAAAAATATGATGTATAAGTAAATAACTAAACTTTAACTAACTTTAAGAGGCCCTATGCTCCATGAAGCATAATTGAACCAAGAAGAAGAAAAACTTTTAACAGTAAATATTAGTTTTTATTTTTATTGTGCGTATATTGAGATATTTTCAAAGGGTTACACTTTTTCATTATTTTTTATATATATCATATATATAGTAATAATTGTAATACTTTATTTATATATTTAACTTTTTAATATTTTACTTCTTAAAGTCATCAATTTTGAATTTCTATCCAGAAATTAACCTAAAAATGTATATACGGGGCTAGTTAATGAGATTTTAAGCCACCAGAAAATGTTCGAACATAATATAATAAGTATTCTATTCATTTTTAGAACAAAATAAATATAAAATGTAAAAGATCAGCTGTTGAATCACTTCAAATATCCTAGAAGACCTCGAACATTTTCAAGAAAATAAAATGTTCAACCCAATTAGTTTGCTTATACTGCTTAAGAATCAAAACGCTCAATCACTTTGAATTACTAAATAGAACTCAGCTGATAGACGATTTTTGTCAAAATGTCATGTGACTTCCCACGTTATGAGTGCCATATTTGGAAAACTTATTGACATATCCACGTAAATTAATAGACTTGCATTGGTCGAAGCCCGTCAAGTGATTAATTGCATTTTTTAATTACATTTTTTAATAATTAATAAAAAGTTGTCAAGTCCTTTCAATGAAAATTATTATATACGCTAATAAAGGACAACTGACAATGAATAATATGCTTAATTTTTGCACACAATTTTTAGATAATGAACTTAAAGAATTTCTAGTACGAGTTTATTACGTTTTAAAGTCTAAAAGAGTTTGTTATGTCTGAAATTTGTTTTACGAAACATGTCGTCAAAGGTTCATCGGTATATTGTAAACACTCTAGGTACTTGCTATACATTTTACTCGGCCGCAATTGGTGCCTCTTCATATATTTACAATGTTAAAACAAAAACCTATAAACAAACTCTATTTTCGCGCTACTATGTTCTCTCCACAAACATTTTGACTTGCATTGTTCTACCCTTTATGTATTGGAAAACTATACTAGATCTAAAAGGTACAACTCAATTAATGAACGCATCATACATCGTCACTTTAATTATATTCACGGCAATGATTTACTACAATATTATATTCCGATTTAAAAGAGAGAAGACAGAAGCATCAATGTTTATCATTTTCAAAAAGATTGAAGACAAATATTTAAAGCATATATCAATGAATAAATCTACTGAAAGCTTCTTTAATCGACTACTCTATACTGTTTTCTTCATTTGGATATATCAAACCTCTTCATCCCATGTGGCAGTAGGTGATGTTACAAATACAAATAATGCTCTATGGACAGCTCTCTATGTTTTCATTTATGTTGATCTGAGCTACAATGTACATTTGATATCACAAAGAAATATTTTCGGACTCTGGTACATTTGCCGTGCATTCTATTACATCAATGCAAATCTGAATGCAATATTGCAAGACGTTGAGAAACTCACAAGAATGGGAAGTATGCCGCATTTAGAAAAAAAACTACTAGAGAGAGGGCTCTGCAAGAAGCTACAAAAAATGTTTCGTTTACACAAGCGATTAACGGAATTATTAAATCGATGGGTTAAAGTCTATCGTTTACATACATTAGGAGTACATTTTACGTATCTGACATGGATTACTACATTTATTTTTTATATCGTTGTCATGATACTAACATCATATGATGGAGTTTGGATCATATATAGTAATACATATAATATTGCTTTACTTATGGAGTTACTTATGCTGCATACAATATGTGACTTAATAATGCGATCCTATATGGAGACTACTTTTTTATTGAGAAATTATAACATATATTCCTCTGATATGCAGGATATTAACAAAATGGTTAAAATTTAATTCAATTATTTATTTATTTATTTTTTATAACTTTTTTTTTTTGCAGATCGAGGAATTTTCTTTAAAACTTTCTGTCTTGGATATTAAAGTAACAATATATAAATTATTTTATTTAAATAAATCGGAATTTTTTAATGTTTGTGTAACAATTTTGCAATATGCAATTGTTTTAGTTCAGTTTCATCTTCTATTTGAATAGAGAATACCTATATATTTATAGTAAATCTGATATTTCTTACCTACAATAAATTAAATTTCATAATAAATATAATTATGTATACATCACTATTTTTTATTTTGTTTAATTTATAGTTTGTAAGAGAAAAACTATTATTCAGGCTTAGTGGTACGCTTTATATAAAATTGTTAACCTCTCATGTCTCTACACACGAATGCAACTAAAGCATTACTCGTTCCACTCCATTTGCTGCCAACATATCTTCGAGTTCAACAGAAGGTTCCAAATGATGTTACTAAATTCACTATTTACAAATAGACCAGAGTAAATACAAGACACTTTCGAATACCAAATTATAGTCTAGTCATCTCTCTTAATATCGACAATCGCAATATTCATCAATATATTATATTTGTGTTTTAGAAAAATTTTTATATAGAAGTCCCACATTTTCAATATACACACTTAAATATCTCAGAACAAATCCCATCATGAGTAAAAAAACACTATTACAGAATAATAGATTATTCAATAATAATCTAAAGACAATCATATTTTTTATGATATTTAGATCATTTATGATTAATCTGTTGAAACACCTTAGATTGTGCATCTAAAAGAAATTATGTATATCTAAAGTAATTTCACTTTCTCTGAAAATTTGCAATTATAATTATTATAGTACTGAAGATCTTTGACAAAGTCTTCTAATACCATTTTAGTTCTTATTTACACGGTTTGAGTTGTGATACTGGTATTCTCATATACACACATAATATATATGTATACAGATATTATATTCATACATAAAATATGAATAAATAATTTAGATTTAGACGCTTAAAACCCACACCAACACATCACTTCACCTTCCCAGTGAGACATTAACAAATCCATCCCAAAATAGATTAAAACTATTGATTGACACTAACTCGAATAAATAAATAAATAACAATAGTTATAATTAAGACCTTATATATACTTTAGTGAAAAACAATATCTTTATGAACGTAAACCTTAGCACTTCATTACCAGTAAAGAACAATAACTTGACTAAGTCAAGTAATATTCTTTATTAATCCACCATTTTACAAGCTTCAAAATCGTCAAAATCGTAAAAGACATATTACCATTACAAAAAAAAACATAGGTATTATCTCTTGTGTATAAAATACTTACAATTTTAATTATAATGAAAAAAATTAATTTGAAAAATTACATATTTTAAAAAATTATTTGTAAACAATCATTCTAATGGGAGTCCCACACTAATCAATTAACTGATAAGCACCATTCATATTCATATAAATATTAGCAATCAAATCTAAATCAATATCAAACAGCTATTAGCTTCGAACCAGTCGAGAACAATCAATAATCTCTATAAAATTAAAGCATAATACTAAAGCAAAAATACAATATGAAGGTACTCATCTGCTTAGCCGTTTCAATCGCAGTATTCTGCGTCATCACTGAAGCCACACCACAACGTTTTCAACGATTACCTTATTATCTACCATCTACGAGTGCACCACGTCTGATACGAGTGAGACGTGATGCTTTGAGTGGTTCATTAGTAAGTAATCCAAATGGTGGAGCTGATGCACGACTTGAATTGGGACATGCTATAGGTGATCCAAATCATAATCTCATTGGTAGTGTATTTGCTGCTGGCAACACAGAGAAGGGACCTGTTGCTTCCGGTGGTACCTTGGCTTATAACAAGTTCGTTTGTATAATTTATATATATTCACTTTTATAACTAAATTTCATATATTTCCTCTAGTAATGGTCTTGGTGCTTCACTGACAAAAGAACATATTCCAGGTGTACGTGATTCATTCACACAAAGTCTAAATGCCAACCTTTATAAAAATGGTCCTCATAGTGTGGACGCTAATGTATTTAAATCACAAAATACTCTTGCCAATGGATTTCAATTTGAACGCAATGGTGGTGGCCTTTCATATGCTCATGCTAATGGACATGGTGCCAGCTTGACACAGAGCAGTATTCCTAATTTTGGTAAACAATTGGAATTTGGTGGAAAGGCAAATTTATGGTCATCACAAGATCGTAATACTCGTTTGGATTTAAGTGGAACCGCATCAAAATGGATGAGCGGTCCATTCAGTAATCAAAAGACTGACTTTGGTGGAAATTTGGGTCTAACACACTATTTCGGTTAAAATTAATTTACTTTTCACTTTGATTGTATTTATTTAATTTTTATATAGATGAAGTTATGCTATATAAATAAATATTTATTAAATTTAATCATTTTAGTTTAAATCCTATTTGTACTTTAAGTGTGAAGTCCTCCCTTGGACTTCTGAAGAAGTTTTTTGTTGTTTAAGACAAAGAATCTTTTTTTGTCATTTTTTCAAGATAATACTCTTCTTGAAAAATGTCGTCCACAAAATGTGCTTCTTAGGTTGTAGTAAGTAGACATTTTTAAATTGAAAATATTTTAGTATAGCTCGACTACCTGAATATAATCCTTAATCTATATTAGCAATATCTATTAGAAACATAGTTAGAAGAACTAAAGTCGTAGAAGCGTTTATATATGTTCCTAGTACGTGAAGCTTGAATAATGTATATCTTAATTTAATCACAATAATTTAATCAAAGGTTTTGACTTCTTACCTTACTAAATGATTATGTTAATTGTTTGACCACAACGTTTTCTCTGATTAAGTTTTGAAGTTCATTTTGCTATACTGAAACAAAATAGCTTACACCTAAATTTATAAACTGAATCTGAATATTAAAAAGATAACGTGTAAGTAAATAACTAAACTTCGACTAACGTTAAGAGGCCCTATGCTCCATCAGGCATTAACGGAACCAAGAAGAAGAAATTCTTTTAATAGTAAATATTAACTTTTAGTTTTTTGTGCTTTTATTGAGATATTTTCTAACGCTTATATTTTTTCTGATTTTTTCATTATTTTTTACATTTTCATATATATATATATAATAATAATTATAATTCTTTATTTATATAAAGAGGTTTTCGAACAGAAGTGAAACAACAACAAAAATTTCTTTATTTATATAATAATCTTTTTAAAAAATTACTTCTTAAAATTTTCATCTACTTTTGATAATCACTTCAAGAGACTAACCTCATCAAACTGCCCTGAGTAGTTTTTTCATAATAAAAATGTATATACGGGGTAAATTAATAAATTTTTAACCAAGAAAATCATAAATTATTCTATTTATTTTTGAAACAAAACAAAAATAAACTGTAAAAAATCAGCTGTTGAATCAATTTAGGTATCTTAGAAGAACTCAAATATTTTCAAGGATATCAAGTGTCGAAATGTTATGTGGCTTCACACATTGGGAGTGCCCTTCGAAAAATATTTGGAAAACTTATTGACATACCCACGTAAAAGTGATAGAATTGCATTGGTCAAAGACCATCAAGTGATTAATTGTTTTGTTAGTAGAAAATTACATTTCTTTATGTTTAATTAATAAATTTTCTGCAAGTTGTCATGTCCTTTCAATCATAAAATAATATATGCTAGTAAAGGACAACTGACAATAAATAAAGCACGTAAAATATTTTTACGGAGTATTTTCTAGATAATGAACTAGATAAATTTCTAGTACAAGTTTATTAAGTCTGAAAATTCTTATACGAAGCATGGCGTCGAAGGTTCATCGGTACATTATAAAAACTCTAGTTACTTGCTTTACATTTTACTCGGCTGGGATTGGTGCCTCTTCATATATTTACAATGTGAAAACAAAAACCTATAAACAAACTCTATTGTCGCGCTACTATGTTCTCTCCACAAACATTTTGACTTGCATTGTTCTACCCTTTATGTATTGGAAAACTATACTAGATCTAAAAGGTACAACTCAATTAATGAACGCATCATACATCGTCACTTTAATTATATTCACGGCAATGATTTACTACAATATTATATTCCGATTTAAAAGAGAGAAGACAGAAGCATCAATGTTTATCATTTTCAAAAACATTGAAAACAAATATTTAAAGCATATATCAATAAATAAATCTACTGAAAGCATCTTTAATCGACTGCTCTATACCGTTTTCTTCATTTGGATATATCAAACCTTTTCATCTCATATGACAATAGCCGATGTTACAAATACAAATAACGCTATATGGACAGCTCTCTATGTTTTCATTTATGTTAATCTTAGCTATAATGTACATTTGATATCACAAAGAAATATTTTCGGACTCTGGTACATTTGCCGTGCATTCTATTACATCAATGCAAATCTGAACGCAATATTGCAAGAAGTTGAAAAACTCACAACGGTGGGAAGTATGCCGCATTTAGAAAAAAAACTACTAGAGAGAGAACTCTGCAAGAAGCTACAAAAGCTGTTTCGTTTACACAAGAAATTGACGGTATTATTAAATCGATGGATCAAAATCTATCGTTTGCAGACAATGGGTATACATTTTACATATCTGATATGGATTACTACACTTATTTTTTACACTGTTGTCATGATACTAGTATCATATGATGGAGATTGGGTCATATATGGTAATACACATAATATTGCATTACTTACGGAATTATTTGTGCTACATACAATATGTGACTTAATAATGCAGTCCTATATGGAGACAACATTTCTATTGAGAAATTATAACATATATTCCTCTGATATGCAGGATATTAACAAAATGGTTAAAATTTAATTCAATTATTTATCTATTTACTTTTTATTATAAATTTCCTTTCTTGCAGATCGAGGAATTTTCTTTAAGACTTTCTATCTGGGATATTAAGGTAACAATATATAATTTATTTTATTTAAAGAAATCCGAATTTTTTAATGTTTGTGTAACAATTTTGCAATATGCAATTGTTTTAGTTCAGTTTTACCTTTTATTTGAACAGAAAATTTATACTTGAAGTTAAACTAATATATGTTATTTACAATAAAATTGCAACCCACAAAGACTATAATAAAATATATAATTATTTTTCTGATAATAAAAATAAATCTATAATATTTTGTTAAATTTATAGTTTAAAAATAAAAGGTATTGCACAGGTGTGCTGACCAATCTTTCATAAAGTCTTTAATCTTTTGTGGGGAGAGAAGCTCTTCACGCTATTCAGTCAAAGTATTGTTCGAAGCTTAAGGTGCAAACAGACTCTAAGCTTCAGCAGCAGGCTCACACTGGTAAGACTAAATTTCAATACCATATATTGAAGAATTGACCAGAGTGAACATATGGCACATCTGACTACTAAATTGCAGTCCAATCATCTCTCCTTATATTGGTTATGGTGTTATGCTATATTTGCTTCATCTGTAAAAAAAGAACAGTAAGTTAAAGATAATACCATTCTAAGAAGTCCCTTAAAATTTACGCTAATGGTTTTACAATTTGAATACCAAGAATTCATAGAGAAAGTCTACTTAAAATTTCATTGTCATAGGTATGAAATGTATGCCTGACTTCTACAGTCAGTAATGCCTCATAACTACTTTACAGTATAATAATAATTAACTAATTTCTTAGGACCAAAGTGTGATCTTATCATCGTTATAGGAATATTTCTACGCAGCAGTCCCACACTTACAGCCCTAAACTTCTCAAACCAAAAACGATTACAAATGAAGGAAACATCATTATTTTGTTTTAAATAATAATCTAATTACAATGATATTATCAATTTTTTGGAAATTTTTATTTGATTAAGAGATTATCTATGGTTAATCTCAAATAAAACATCTCAAATTGTGTGTCTTAAAGAAAGTATGTATATCTGAAGTAGCTTCATTTGCTCTAGGCATTCTCAGGAGAAACCATAACAGTATTGGACAACCTCTTAAGTAAACGGCACATGATCATCGTAGACTGAGACTGACAATAAACATATTCTCAAAATATGTTTCTAAAGTCTATAAAATCGTCCTCCATTATTCAAAACTATATTAAATTGATAATCTAAACAAGATAGTTATAACGCAACCAGGATAAAAGTAGAAACTCTGGCACGTGACAAACCAATCAAACTTACCCAGGTGATAAGGTTAACTATCAAAAACAAATGTTTTAAATTTTTTATCCTCATACTTGGATATCAAAATTTCTTACACAAAATTATTTACAATTTTGCATTTTAATAAAATAGTATGTCATCAATTGCCAACTGCTATATTTATCCGTATATATTAGTCCATGTATTCCATTTTATTAAAACTACTATTTTTATTACAAATAAATACAGTAAAAAATTTATAAAAATTATTTACTTCGTATGTTACACTTATTAGTTGTTATTGTAACCCATTTTCTAGACCTGTCAAGCAAAAGGTACTGATATCGGAGAGATATGGCAATAAATTTAAAATGTTATTAACTTGATTACTGCATAGGAATAAACATATCCTGGCTGCCTTAATTAAAACAGTTTGACAAAGCATGTCGCCGAAACAACTTCGTTATATTAAAAATGCCCTCATAACATGTTATACATATTACTCGGTGGGCATTGGTGCTTCTTCTTACATTTACAATGTCAAAACGAAAACCTATCAACAAACTCCTGTAACGCGTTACGTTGTAGTGCTGGTCAATATTTTTACATGTATTATTCTACCTTTTCTGTATTGGAAAAACATGCAGGATGTTCAAAATACGTTTATGACACCTCTAATGAGTGCATCGTATAATATCAGCTTTTATGTGTTTCTGGCAATAATCTATCACAATATCATTTTTCGTCATAAAAGAGAACAGGAGGAGGCATCAGTATTTCTTGATTTCCAAAATATTGAAGAAAAATATTTAAAAAACTTGTCGATAAGTAAAACTAGGGAGAACTTCTTCAATCGATTTCTTTATAGTATTTTTATCATTTGGTTACATAAATGGATTATGATTTATATAACAATAGTAAATGTTACGGAAACAAATAATCCATTGAAGACATTTCTCTTCGTTTTCATATACACAAATTTTACCAATTTTGTACATTTTATAATACAAAGAAATCTTTTGGGATTATGGTTTATTTGCCGAGCATTCTGTTACATTAATACAAGTATAAATGGAATACAACAGGATTTTGAGAAGCTTGCAATTTTAAGGAATGCCAAGCAGTTGGAAAAAAAATTACTTGAAAGAGAACTGTGGAAAAGGCTACGTAAATTGTATGGTTTACACATGCGATTGACAAAATTATTGAAGAGATGGAATAACATCTATCGCCTTTACATCCTTGGTGTACATTTCACTCATCTAACCTGGATTACTACAATTATTTTTTGTACTGTTATCTTAATACTATCCCATTTCAATGATGAGGCATGGATAATATATGGTAATACTTATCAAATTTGCATGATGTTAGATCTATTTATGATGCATGGGTTATGTAACTTGATAACTGAGTCGTATAAGGAAACTATATGGTTTTTGAGGAATTACAACACATTTTCCTCAGATATATATAATTTTAACAGAACGGTAAAAGTTTATATTCATTAAATAGTATTATATATATTTATCATATATCTTTTGCAGATCGAAGAGTTTACATTAGAACTTTGTTCTTCTGATGTTAAAGTGACTATATACAAATTATTCAACTTAAATAAACGTTGTTTTTTCAAAGTTTGTGTAACACTTTTAAGTTACTTAATTGTATTAGTTCAATTTCATATTTTATTTGAATACAAAATATAGAATATTAAAGTAATTATATTAGAATAATACTTTTAAAAAATGTTGCTACCCTTCTTAATAAAATTATGAACTATGATTGTAACTATCTTTAAAGATTACCAAAACAAAAAGGTATCAACACCTACTTAATTGTTAGCCAGCGCAAATATTACAGATTCCATACCTTAGGGATTTCTTACAGATTGTAGTCAGCTTCAGAGTGTAGCCTTAAAAAGCATTTTCGACTTAATATATAAGATGCTCACGAAGCCAAAGTCTTAATACCAACCTTTATAAAAATGGATCTCATAGTGTGGACGCTAATGTATTTAAATCACAAAATAGTCTTGCCAATGGATTTCAATTTGAACGCAATGGTGGTGGCCTTTCATGTGCTCATGCTAATGGACATGGTGCCAGCTTGACACAGAGCAGTATTCCTAACTTTGGTAAACAGTTGGAATTTGGTGGAAAGGCAAATTTATGGTCATCACAAGATCGTAATACTCGTTTGGATTTAAGTGGAACCGCATCAAAATGGATGAGTGGGCCATTCAGTAATCAAAAGACCGACTTTGGTGGAAATTTGGGTCTAACACACTATTTCGGTTAAAATTAATTTACTTTTCACTTTGATTGTATTTATTTAATTTTTATATAGACGAAGTTATGCTATATAAATAAATATTTATTAAATTTAATCGTTTTTGTTTAAATCCTGTTTGTACTTTGAGTGTGAAGTCCTCCCTTGGACTTCTGAAGAAGTTTTTTGTTACTTAAGACAAAGAATCTTTTTTTGTCATTTTTTCAAGATAATACTCTGCTTGAAAAATGTCGTCCACAAAATGTGCTTCTTAGGTTGTAGTAAGTAGACATTTTTAAATTGAAAATATTTTAGTATAGCTCGACTACCTGAATATAATCCTTAATCTATAATAGCAATATCTGTTAAAAACGTAGTAAGAAGAGCTATTGTCGTAGAAGCGTTTATATATGTTCCTAGTACGTAAAGCTTGAATAATGTACGTCTTAATTTAATCACAATAATTTAATCAAAGGTTTTGACTTCTTACCTTACTAAATGATTATGTTAATTGTTTGACCACAACGTTTTCTCTGATTTAGTTATGAACTTCATTTTGCTATGTTAAAAAAAAAATAGCTTAAGTTCTAATTTATAGACTGAATCTGAATATTAAAAAGATAATGTGTAAGTAAATAACTAAACTTTAACTAACTTTAAGAGACCCTATGCTCCATGAGGCATCAACGGAACATGAGGCATCAAAAAGAAGAAAAACTTTTAATAGTAAATATTTGTTTTTATTTTATAATAATAATTATAATTCTTTATTTATATATTAAACTTTTAAACTTAATAAATTACTTCTTAAAATTGTCATTTACTTTTGATAATCACTTCAAGAGACTAACCTCATCAAACTGCGATGAGTAGTTTTTTCATAATAAAAATGTATATACGGGGTAAATTAATAAATTTTTAACCAAGAAAATCATAAATTATTCTATTTATTTTAAAAACAAAACAAAAATTAACTGTATAAGATCAGCTGTTGAATCAATTTAGGTATCTTAGAAGAGCTCAAATATTTTCAAGGATATCAAGTGTCGAAATGTTATGTGGCTTCACACATTGGGAGTACCCTTCGAAAAATATTTGGAAAACTTATTGACATACCCACGTAGAAGTAATAGATTGGTCAAAGGCCATCAAGTGATTAATTGTTTTGTTAGTAGAAAATTACATTTATTTATGTTTAATTAATAAATTTTCTGCAAGTTGTCATGTCCTTTCAATCATTAAATAATATTTGCTAGTAAAGGACAACTGACAATAAATAAAGCGCGTAAAATATTTTTACGGACTATTTTGTAGATAATAAACTAGATAAATTTCTAGTGCAAGTTTATTAAGTCTGAAAATTCTTATACGAAGCATGTCATGGAAGGTTCATCGGTACATTATAAACACTCTAGTTACTTGCTATACATTTTACTCGGCTGGCACTGGTTCCTCTTCATATATTTACAATGTCAAAACAAAAACCTATAAACAACCTCTATTGTCGCGCTACTATGTTCTCTCCACAAACATTTTGACTTGCATTGTTCTACCCTTTATGTATTGGAAGACTATACTGAATTTAAAAGATACAACTCAATTAATGAACGCATCATACATTGTCAATTCAATTATATACACGGCAATGATATACTACAATATTATATTCCGATATAAAAGAGAGGAGACAGAAGCATCGATGTTTATCATTTTCAGAAACATTGAAGAGAAATATTTAAAGCATATATCAATAAATAAATCTACTGAAAGCTTCTTTAATCGACTACTCTATACTGTTTTCTTCATTTGGATATATCAAACCTTTTTATCCCATTTGACAATAAGTAGTGTCACTAATACAACTAATGCTATGTGGACAGCTCTCTATGTTTTCATTTATGTTAATCTCAGCTATAATGTGCATTTGATATCACAACGAAATATTTTCGGACTCTGGTACATTTGCCGTGCATTTTATTACATCAATGCAAATCTGAACGCAATATTGCAAGAAGTTGAAAAACTAACAACGGTGGGAAATATGCCGCATTTAGAAAAAAAACTACTGGAGAGAGAACTCTGCAAGAAGCTACAAAAGCTGTTTCGTTTACACAAGAAATTGACGGTATTGTTAAATCGATGGGTTAAAATCTATCGTTTGCAGACAATGGGTATACATTTTACGTATCTGCCATGGATTACTACACTTATTTTTTACACTGTTGTTATGATACTAACATCATACGATGGAGTTTGGATCATATATAATAATACTCACAATATTGCATTACTTATGGAGTTACTTATGCTGCATACAATATGTGACTTAATAATGCAGTCCTATATGAAGACTACATTTCTATTGAGAAGTTATAACATATATTCCTCTGATATGCAGGATATTAACAAAATGGTTAAAATTTAATTCAATTATTTATCTATTTACTTTTTATTATAAATTTCCTTTCTTGCAGATCGAGGAATTTTCTTTAAGACTTTCTATCTGGGATATTAAGGTAACAATATATAAATTATTTTATTTAAATAAATCGGAATTTTTTAATGTTTGTGTAACAATTTTGCAATATGCAATTGTTTTAGTTCAGTTCCATCTCCTATTTGAAGAGAAAATATATATTTCAACTTAATGTAATATTTCTTATCTACAATAAATTAAATCACGTAAAAAATATAAGAATATGTATAATTATTTTATACGTCACTTTTTTTTTTATTTTGTTTAATTTATAGTTTGTAAGAGAAAACTATTATTCAGGCTTAGTGGGACGCTTTATATAAAATCTCTCATGTCTCTACACACGAATTCAACTAAAGTATTACTCGAACCATCTCTCTTAATATCGACAATGGTGTTATTGATCTTTTACGGTATAATGTTTATATAACATTACTCCAGTTGAATGGGATAGACTGCAGTAATAGACTGCCATACCACATAAATAACATGGCTCATCCACAACCCCATAAAAAGAAAAACACTATATAATCGTGATCGGCGATTACTTTCCATACCATAAGTTTAATATTGGCATTATATAGTAAAGTACTGAAGAAAGTACTCAACACATATTTTATTGTTAACCAACAAATACGTAACATAGATTCCATACTCTAGGGAGTTTAGTTAACTGTACAACGTTGCTATAAAAAGCATTTTCAAATGTTCCAGATATTTTTTAAGCGCTTCAAGTTGTATACGATAAAAAATTAGTTTAGTAAATGTAAATAGATCTAGCCATGTGTTCATTTGGACGACGGAGTCTACGACAACATTGAGCGTTACATTCAAAAGATATTTTTGTAATGTTTGAATCTTCATGGAACCTGTGAGCTAACCATTGTAATTTTCTTCTGCCGATTAAGAATGATTAGTATTAAGTAATTCATTCTATTGCAAACATATGTAAAATAGGTGTTACAAGTTTATTCTCATGGGAAGTTTTATATATTTAATTATATTTAAACGACTTCAGAGTATTAACCTTATTTTTCAGATATATATATTTTTATTACACCCATTTATCAAAAATTAGATGCTTGACGAACTGTCTTTGATTCTCAAATTCCCAATTCCCAAACTATGAACACTGGCATAAAACGTATTTATTTTTTTAAATTTTTAGAAATATATATTTTTTATAGACAAATTAAGTGAAGTTATTTAAAGTCATACATTTCAGCAGTGACATAGACTTCACTTCGAATGATGGCTGCATATATTATATGTATAAGGTCGGAGGAGTGAATAAGATAACCTGATTAATAATTGTATTCATCAAGGGAATTGATATATATAGTTTCCACAAAAATTGTGGATAACAAATCACAACAAAAAACGTTTTTGGGTCTTAGACTATGAAAGATAAGTTTTAACAGAATAAAATTGAAAAAAAAAAAAATTTTATTTCTTTAGAAACTGTCTTAACAAATATATTTAATATATAAAATAATATATAAATTACATTATTATTATTAGGAATATTTTATTTTTTTTAAACAAAACACGTTGGTTCTATTTAATCACATATTTTATTTAAATTTATTAACAAATTCGATGTTGCGGCTATCTTCAAGAAATATGTACAACATCTAGCAAATATTGGTCACAAAGAACATTAACATAATTTTTTGGTTAATAAAATGAAAAAATTTTTGCAAATAATAGTTATTAATTTTTTTGAAGCATATTATACTGGCAATTAAAAATTTCTTCTTCAGTGGAAATTATTGCCTCACCGACTCAAAGCACGTAGTTAAGGCTTATGGATATGTAGGAGAATATTCATAAGAAATTATTTTTAATACAACTCAAACCACATAGGTCCATTTATCATAGAATGAATTGAAGTCGGTTTCACTATATTGTATTAATTAAGAATTGTTTACGTTTGAGTTTGAGTTCGTCTATACTTATAAAAGGATATACACTGATTCTACATGATTCTCTAGTAGGAAACATTGCCTTACCATATTTAAAGCACATGTCAAAGATTTATGGAATGATATCTTCATCATAATTACTACTATTTTATTTTAGTAATAATATACTATTATTTTATATAATATTATTATATTATACTAATAATAAAATATTGATTGTTTTTTCCGTACTATTATTGAGAAGATCTGGCAATAAATTGCATATGTCATAAACCTTTTTTCGTACATTTAAGGATATGCGAAAGTATAACATGTCCCGTTTTTGTGTTCCTTAAAATAGTTTGGCACAAAATGTCTCCTAGGATACTTCAGTGTATTGAAAATGTCTTAATAAATTGTTATACATTTTATACAGTTTGCATAGGTGCTTCTTCTTACATCTACGATATTAAGACAAAAACCTATCAGCAGAAACCATTAATCCGTAATGCAGTTATATTTATAAATATTTTTACATGCATGATTCTACCATTATTTTTATGGAAAAGTATACACGATTCTAATGATTTTTCTACGCAGCTCATGAAGGCATCAGAACGTGTCTCTTTGGTTATATTCATGGCTATGATCTACCATAATATTATTTTTCGATATAAAAGAGAAAAGGCAGAAGT